TAGGGAAATGGTAAATTAGGATTGTTATAACCAAGCAAAAAAAAATCAAAAGTTGCAATTGCTGAAGAAGGAAAGGAAGATTGAAGCTGCTGAAGTTGCTGGTAATGTGTGTTTTGAAAGTTCTAATATTCTACCACTTATTCTATATTAATGTTGCAATAGATAAAAAAATTTTTGCTCACAACAACGGAAAATCCTGTGGCTTTTTTGTAGCAATTATTCAATCGGAAATAAGTAAGAATTCATCCATCAGTTGGTGCCGCACCCTAGAAGTTGTAAGTTCAATTTTGACATAAACTCTGTTTCTATCCATTTTTATCATTTATTTAACTTGAATGTTATAGTCCATAAGCCGTTAAAGGCTCTAAAAGTTCAGGATTTTCATTTTTAAGCAAGATGAACAATTCTAACGAATCATTAACCATATCAAAGTTTTATCTTTAGTTGATTGAGTTAGTTTTTTCTTTCTTGCTAATAAAAATATATTCGTGAAATTAATTTCACAGATAAACTCGATTGGATGTTTTGGTATCTTTAAAAACTTATTATTTGGATTATTTTTCAAAAAATTAAATTAAAGATAAATTAAAATTACCATATATTATGCTAACACAAGAGAGAATCATTTGTAAAACTAGCTTGTCTTCCATGAGCATCCTTGCAGCATCGACATCTACATATATTACTTCCTCTAGCTAGGAGTATGATGTCTTTCTAAGCTTTAGAGGTGAAGATACCCACAAAAGTTTCACAAGTAATCTATATAGCGCTTTGAATCAAAGCGGAATTAATATATTTATAGATGACAAAGAACTTGAGCGAGGAAAAGCATTTCATCGGAACTTCTGGAAGCAATTGAAGACTCAAGATTTTTAGTTGTTGTTTTCTCAAGAAATTATGCAACCTCTATTTGGTATTTGGATGAACACGTTAAAATTGTTGAATGTATGAAGACAAGATGACAGAAGTTCATCCCCGTTTTTTATGATGTCGATCCGTCTATTGCAAGGAAACAAACAGGAAACTTTTGTGAAGCCTTTGTAAAGCATGAAAAAATTTGCAGGGAGAATATAGGAAGGGTGCAAACATGAAGGAATGCATTGACTGAGGTGGCCAACCTCTCTGGTTTTGATTTGAAGGACAGGTAACAATTATTTCTTCTTCTATATAAATAATCCAGAGCTTAATTATCAAAACGATTGAAGTATTAGGTTTCTCATGTTATTGATTCTTTGACCGTTTGGATGGAAAAAGAGTCAACAAGATTCTTTGCTGCTTTTTGAATTGCATTAACACTTCCTACAATTAACCAACCAAAAGAGTACTTTTATTAGATTGCCTCACAGGTTTTGCTTGGCAGAGGCAGAGAAGATACTTAGGCCGGCTAGTCTTTTGAAAAAAAACAAAAAAAAGTTATAGGTCAGGACTAAAAGGCTCGTAACAAATGATATGTAATTACAAGACCATCCTTAGTTTAATTTGACTATACCAATTACAATTCTTATCTTCACTATCTGTGTTATGCCTCAAAAGTCAAGCCTATGTCAGCACAATTAATGTCTCTTTGTACCAGCTGCCAAGCCCATATCTCCAAAGATATTCTCACCAACTTTATCTCATTTCAAAGAGATGAATGGACGAGAGCCTTCCATGTGTCAAGGCAATTTGCAAAAGCTCTCATGGCATTGAGTGCAAATGTGAATAAATGGGCACTCCTCTTCTCGAAGAAGGGAGGCTGGGCTGAGATTTAGCTTCAATTCTTTCTCTCTGTAAAAACACTATATTTCTTCATCTTTGTATGCCTTATGGGCAAATTCATAAAAGTAGGGAGAGATCAAATAAAATAACAGTGGATGTAAGAGTCGCTTGTTGCATCCGAACCACTATAAAAACCCCTATTGCCAATCTTTTATTTATCTTTTCTGCAAAATATATAATCGCAGCTCCATATTCAAATCTCATGGATCCATCACGTGTGTCTCTTGAGTCAGCTCAGCGTTTCCCACGTGCGAGTCATTGGCGTCCAAAATCAAGCGTCAACAGTTTGGTGGCCCATGCAGGTCCGATTCTCGAACCTGCATCAAAGTTCCTTGATGGCGTGCTTAGATCTCAAACCCGCATCAGAGTTCTACGATCGCGTGGCCAGATCATAGATCCCACGCGTTAGAATTCTTCGATCGCGCATCAGAATTCTCCAATCACGTGGCCAGATCGCAGATCGCACGCATCAGAGTTCTCCGATCGAGTGGCCAGATCGCAGATCACACACCCATGCCATCCTGATCCTCAGCTTCAGATCGCGGATCTTTAGCTTCAAATCGCATGTTCAGATCGTTGATCTCTTGTGCTCTTAGGTAGAGCTCGTTATGATCTCTCAGGTCGAGGTCATTTTGCTCATTGAGCTAATTTTGACCTCTCAAGTTGAGGTCGTTTTGCTCATTCAGGTCGTTTTGACCTCTAAAATTGAGGTCGTTTTGCTCATTGAGCTCGTTTTGACCTCTCAAGTTGAGGTCGTTTTGCTCATTCAGGTCGTTTTGACCTCTCAGGTCGATGAGAGGTCGTTTTGACCTCTAAAATTGAGGTCGTTTTGTTTTTTGAGCTCGTTTTGACCTCTAAAATTGAGGTCGTTTTGCTTTTTGAGCTCGTTTTGACCTCTTAGGTCGAGGTCGTTTTGCTCTCAAGTTGAGCTCGTTTTGCTCAGATTGAGCTCGTTATGACCTTTCAGGTCGTTCTCCTACCAGATTTTAGGTCGAGCTCCTAACAGATTTCTGGTCGTTTTCCTAACAGATTTCTGGTCGTTTTCTTAACAGATTTCTGGTCACTCCTAACAGATTTCTGGTCATTTTCCTAACAGATTTCAGGTCGTTTTCCTAACAGATTTCAGGTCGTTTTCCTAACAGATTTCAGGTCGTTTTCCTAACAGATTTCTGATCATCTTCCTAACAGATTTCAGTTCGAGCTCTTCAGTTCGAGACCGCAGCCAGTCAGATCAAAGACTTTAGTTTCTAAAGTGCAACGCACTTAAAAAACTAGGGGGCTTCTGTTATGCCTCAAAAGTCAAGCCTATGTCAGCACAATTAATGTCTTTTTGTACCAGCTGCCAAGCCCATATCTCCAAAGATATTCTCACCAACTTTATCTCATTTCAAAGAGATGAATGGACGAGAGCCTTCCATGTGTCAAGGCAGTTTGCAAAAGCTCTCATGGCATTGAGTGCAAATGTGAATAAATGGGCACTCCTCTTCCCGAAGAAGGGAGGCTGGGCTGAGATTTAGCTTCAATTCTTTCTCTCTGTAAAAACACTGTATTTCTTCATCTTTGTATGCCTTACGGGCAAATTCATAGAAGTAGGGAGAGATCAAATAAAATAACAGTGGATGTAGGAGTCGCTTGTTGCATCCGAACCACTATAAAAACCCCTCTTGCCAATCTTTTATTTATCTTTTCTGCAAAATATATAATCTCAGCTCCATATTCAAATCTCATGGATCCATCACGTGTGTCTCCTGAGTCAGCTCAGCGTTTCCCACGTCCGAGTCGTTGGCGTCCAAAATCAAGCATTAACAATCTGTTATATCTCTACATTGGCAGATGTTGATATGCATGACAAATAAAGTGGTACCGTTAGAACTCTCCACCACCAAGTTTAATTTAGAAGAGATTTGAGCAAGTTTGACTGAGAAATTATAAGCAAGGAGAAAAAGAAACAACACAAAGTGTTTATCCTGGTTCGACTTTAATTCAAGCCTATGTCCAGTTGAGCTCAGCCATTGAACTCGTTCTCTGCACCATGTTAATGAATTGATACCATGTTGATGAATTGAACAACTATATTAAGAGATACCAAACAAGTTCTATTACAATGATTTTCAGAGCACAACAAGAAAAACACCCAAAGTTCTTTTTTGTTTCTCACCAAATCTGTTGTATCTCTCAATCTCACACGACACCATCGTTACTTTTAGGCCAATGTAAAAGGATATTAATCCCTAATCTCCATGAGCGATTCATTGTATCAAGGGCAATAATTCAACCATTGATTCTTGCCATTTATATCAAAATGATAGCTACTACAATTTCCTTATGTAGATTACCAACCTGTAATGTAGTGTAAATGATAGCTTTTTTAAGGATCAGTCACAATAGGTATTTGTAGTAACAACTAGGGTTATCAACTAAACTGATTTCAATCCAATCAATCAATGAACAAACTCAAGAATCAACTTATACAATATAATAAGCAATCAATTTAGATATTAATAGAAGCAAGAAAAAGCTGAATAAAAATGACACGGAGGGATTTATTGTGGTTCGGCTAAGGCAACCTACATCCACTCTTCAAGACACACTTTAGGGTATTTCATTTCTCAAGAGAACAATGTTACAGAAAGTATTTAACAAGCAAAAATATAGGAAAGAACACACCTGATTAAGCCTCTCACTACTCTACTCTTCTCACACATATTGGTCTGATTTTATACACATCAAGGCTCCATTGATCAATCACCAACTATCCAATAAGATCTGAAAACCATTGGAGAAAACAAGCACTAGAATCTTCTGCCATAATTGAAGACCTAGGGCCAAAACGGGACCACAGAGAGAGATGAGCTATGAAGAATGGGTTACAACAGAATGAGAGTCGAGTGCCAGATAGGGCACTTAAACTTGATAACCAAAATTACGTCGCACAGGAAAAATATAACACTGCTTGCTTTGACTGATATTGACTCTAGCGTGTCAATTGCGAGCCAATCATCACAATTCTCCACCTTAGCTTGTGAATTGACACCCTAAGTGGCCTTGGCAAAACTGAACTACACTTGAACATGGAGTAGGCTCATACAGAGCCTATGCTTGTCTACAATTACTAGTTTGGTGAGCATGTCTACAGGATTATGTGTTCCTTTTATCTTCTCAATCTTGACTGCTCCTTTTTTAATCATTTCTCTGATGAAGTGAAGCTTGACATCGATGTGTTTAGCCTTCTCATGGAAGACTTAGTTTTTGGACAAATGTATTGCACTCTGACTGTCACTTTTGATCTCCACATTTTTCTGTTCCAGCTCCAGTTCATTCACAAAACCCTTAAGCCATATAGCTTCCTTTGTTGCTTCTGTCAGGGCTACATACTCAAATTCTGTTGAAGAGAGTGTAACCAGATGCTGAAGTTTTGATTTCCAGCTAATCACATTCCCCCACAATGTAAAAACAAAGCTTGAAGTGGACTTTCTCTTATCAATGTCCCCTGTATGCGCATAATCAGCATCAACAAACCCTCTAATGCAGTGCTGTTCTTCTTTGTTCTTACATAATATAATGCCCATTGACTTGGATCCTTATAAGTATCTTAGAATCCATTTGAGTGCAGACCAATGTAGTCTTCCTGGATTGCTCATGAACCTACTTACTAAGCTCACAGAATATGCTAGATCTGGCCTGGTGCAAACCATTAAGTATATCAAGCTACCCAGGGCTTTTGCACATGGGATGGTGGACATTTCCTTTTGTTCTTCTTCTGTTTGTGGGAACTAATCATGTGATAATTTGAAGTGCTGCCCTAGGGGAGTTTGGACAACCTTAGCATTCTGCATGTTGAACTTCTGCATAATCTTTTCTGCATATTCTTCTTGAACCAGCTTCAAGCTTCCTTGCATTCTGTCTCTTACAATGGTAATATTAAGGATCTTTTGAGCCTGACCCAACTCTTTCATTTCAAACTTGGTATTGAGGATTTTCTTCAATCGAGTAAGCTCAGGTTTGTCATGGCAAGCAACCAACATGTCATCCATATAAAGAAACAAGTAAGAATGAGTCAAATCAGAATTTCTTTTAAAATAAAAACAGCTATCAAACTGACATCTATTAAAGTCAATTTCAATCATAAAAGAATCAAATTTCCTGTACCACTATCGTGGTGATTGTTTTAGACCATAAAGTGATTTTCTTAGATAACAAAATTTACCTACTGCTCCTAAGTATCCTTCTCATTGCTCCATCAGAATATTCTCTTCCAAATCACCATGTAAAAAGGTTGTTTTTACATCTAGTTGCTCCAGTTCCAGATTGAACTGTATAACCAGAGAAATCAGAATTCTGATTGATGCGTGCTTTACAACTAGGGAGAATATTTCATTATAGTCTATGCCCTCCACTTGTGTGAATCCTTTTGCAACTAGCCTAGCCTTGTACCTAGGTGATTCTTTTGAAGTTAGGCCTGGTTTCCTTTTGAAGATCCATTTTCACTTAACTACCCTGCAGTTTTCTGGTTTGTCAACTAGGGTCCAGGTATTGTTTTTCATTAAAGAGCTGAATTCGTCTTCGATTGCCTTCTTCCATTCTGATTTTTCAGGTCCTAATATAGCTTCCTGAAAGGTCTTAGGCTCATCATTAAGCTTTTCTTCTACCTGAAGAGCATAGGCTACCAGGTCTGCATATCTTAGTATGTTGGGAGGTTTAATGACTCTTTAGGTTCTATCCTTAGATAGTTGATAGTTTGCCAAGTCTGGCTCCTGTTCCCCTTGTTCCCTTTGCTTACCAAATTCATTTGTATCAAGGTTTTCAAGATTCTCTACTGTCTCTTTTGCTCCACCTTGATGATTAGAAACTACATCCTAAATTTCCAACTCTAAGTGATCTGATCCTGAGGCACTATCAACTAGTTTTCCAGGTTCATATTCCAGTCCAGGAAGGACCTTTTCCCTAAAAACCACATCCCTGCTAATTATACATTTCTTAGTTTCTAGATTCCAAAACTTATAATCTTTTACTCCCTCTGGATATCTAAGAAATAGGCACTTAATGGCTCTAGGTTTCAGTTTATCATCCTTTACATGAACATAAGATAGGCACCCGAAAACTCTTAAGTTGTCCAACTTTATAGGGTGTATAGTCCATTTTTCTAAAGGCACCTCGAAACCTATGGCAGATGAGGGGGTTTTATTAATCAAATACACCACAGTATGTGCAGCTTCTGCCCATTATTTTGCAAGTAGTTTAGAGTTTGACAGGATGCTCCTAACTTTGTCTAGGATTGTCCTATTCATTCTTTCATAGAGGTCATTCTGTTGTGGGCTATTTCTAACAGTTTTGTGCCTAACAATTCCATGGTTTTTGCAAAAACTATTGAATTCATCATTCACAAACTCAAGACCATTATCAGTCCTATGCCTTTTAAGTTTCTTCCCAGATTGAGTTTCAACCATTGTTTTCCATTCTTTAAACCTAAGGAATGCCTCATCTTTGGTCTTGAGGAAGTATATCCAGACATGCCTAGAATAGTCATCTATAAAGCTAATGAATTACCTACAGCCCCCCAGTGAGTAGTGTCTAGCTGGCCCCCATACATCTAAGTGAACATACACAAGTGGTGAACTTGAGTAATGTTTAACAGATTCAAATTTCACCCTCCACATCTTGCCAAAAATACAGTGTTCACAGAAGGTTAAATTTCCAGTTTTGTCCCCTCCTAACAAATTCTGCTTGCTCAACTCATCTAACCCTCTTTCACTGACATGTGCCAACCTTTGATGCCACAATAAGGTTTTGTCTTGTGTTACTAGAGACCTTACAGCAGCTATGTCATAATTTGTCCTACCCTTTAACACATAGAGACCATTTCTCTTTTCACCTTTCATCACTACTAATGATCCTTTCATCACACTAAGACTTCCATTTGAAGCCTTGTAACTCAGTCCAATGGAGTCTAGAGTGCCTAGTGATATTAGATTCCTTTTGAGGTCAAGAATATATCTCACATCTGTGAGGGTTTTGGTTAGACCATTGTGAAGGCTTAGTTTGACAGTACCTATTCCCTTAATGCAACATACTGCATTGTTTCCCATCACAACTTTTCCACCATCTAGAGTTTGAAAAGAACTAAACCACTCCCTATTAGGTGTCATGTGATAGGTACATCTTGTGTCTAAGATCCATTCCTCACTATTTCTACCTTCAGAGATGACTAACACTTTTGAACTTTCATAGCCCTCAGACATAACACTAGCACTGCCTTTCTCTTCCTCATTTTCATACTTCTTCTTTCCCTTTCTCGCAAGACAATCTCTCATAGGATGACCTTCCTTGTGACAGAAGAAGCATTTCCATTTCCCAGTTTTGGACTTAGATTTATTCCTATTGTGTCCCCCCTTTTTCCAGTTCCTCATATCTGATCTACCCCTTACCATGAGACCTTCCCCATCACTGGCTGATTTCATTCTATTCTTGCTATCCTTAGCTGTAATGGCTTCTACAACTTCTTCTAATTTTAGGGTATGCCTACCATATTTTAAGGTTTCTATAAAATTAGAGTAGGGTTTTGGTAGGACATTTAGAAGAATTACAGCCTGGTCTTCATCATCAATCTCTACTGATATGCTTTCTAAATCCTGTATAATTTTCAGAAATTCATCCTTATTGTCTTTTAGAGTTTTCTGCTCATTCATTTTAAACCCAAACAATCTTTAAAAAAATTTATTAGGAACAGCTTTAGATTGATACAGAGAGTCTAACCTATTCCAGATCTCAACATCAGTTTTCTCCTTCTTCACTTCTCGAAGGACTTTCTCACCAAATCCTAAGATCAATGAGCTTTTTGCTTTGTTGAGAACATCCTGCTTCTTAACTTCAGTCATGGTGTCAGGCAATCTAGATTCCCCTGTCAATGTTAAGGCTAGTCCTTCTTTAATCAACACAACTTCCATTTTCATCTTCCAGTGTCCAAAATCATTGTCCCCTGTAAACTTTTCGAGTCCAAATTTTGTGGACATGTTTTTGGTATGAAATTTGTAACGACAGAAGAGAAATCACAAATAACCCTAATTAGGTTTTGAACGAGGCTTTGGTACCAATTTGTAGTAACAACTAGGGTTATCAACTAAACTGATTTCAATCCAATCAATCAATGAACAAACTCAAGAATCAACTTATACAATATAATAAGCAATCAATTTAGATATTAATAGAAGCAAGAAAAAGCTAATAAAAATGAAACGGAGGGATTTATAGTGGTTCGGCTAAGGCAACTTACATTCACTCTTCAAGGCACACTTTAGGGTGTTTCATTTCTCAAGAGAACAATGTTACAGAGAGTATTTAACAAGCAAAAATATAGGAAAGAACACACCTAATTAAGCCTCTCACTACTCTACTCTTCTCACACATATTGGTCTGATTTTATACACATCAAGGCTCCATTGATCAATCACCAGCTATCCAATAAGATCTGAAAACCGTTGGAGAAAACAAGCACCAGAATCTTCTGCCATAATCAAAGACCTAGGGCCAAAACGGGACCAGAGAGAGAGATGAGCTGTGAAGAATTTGTTACAACAGAATGAGAGTCGAGTGCCGAATAGGGCACTTAAACTTGATAACCAAAACTACGTCGTACAGGAAAAATATAACACTGCTTGCTTTGATTGATATTGACTCCTGCGTGTCAATTGCAAGCCACATCATCACAGTATCATTGTTAAAATAATGAGCTATGATAAGATTATATAGATTTTACAAATTTGGAATAAAAATAAACAAAAAAGGAAAAGAAATGTTTTCTTGTTTATCAGGATTATGTATATTATAATATTTATTTATTAGTACATATCTTCAATATTCATGACTGATGGGGCATTGTAAATAGGGGTGTTCAAAATAACCGATTGGAACTGGAACCGGTGGGTACCCGGGGTTTGGTTCCGGTTTCTACCTGAAACCGGCCGTCAACGGGTAGGTTCCGGTTCCAAATTTTTGGAGCCGGAACCGAGACTAATATAAAATAAAATTGAAGACTATATATGGGGGTTAATGAAAACTTTTGAAGAAAAAATAATGTGAATATATATATATATATATAACATTTAAAGTAAGTTGGTTTGGCTTTTGAGAATCTACTTTAACAAAGTAATGGAGTTTGTAATTTTATTTTTGTTAACAAGTGTCAGATGGGGGGTATTAATAAGTTTTCAAGGGTTTTTTTGCCATTTTAAAAACTTTGGGGGTAATTGTAATTTTATAGGGTGCCTAGAACCGAAACCGAAACCATTGTTACAGGTTCTAGTTCTAGGTACCTAGGAACCGGAATTGTCAGTTTCGGTTCCAAATTTCAAGGAACCATCGGTTTTGGTTTTAGTTCTGGTTTCTTCAAAAAATGCAAGGTACCCGGAACTAAACACCTCTAATTTTAAATACATATTTTTTTTCTTCTTTTACTTTTTTTTTTTTTTTCACTCTACAGGCACGAGTCTGAATTTATTCAAGAAATTGTGAAGGAAATTTCAACTAAATTAAGGCACCTTTCAACATGCTTGAGTTTCAAGGACATAGTTGG